TTTTTTTTTTTTTTTTTTTTTTTTTTTTTTTTTTGACAGTGTTTCAAAATCAAAGAATAACAGTGTTTATTTATGTTGGTAGTAGCGATGGTCTAAATTCTTGGTGGTTATTAGAGACTACTGAACGATGTTTTTTGAACTGTATATTCCTAAAGTTACTTTTGATTAACTGTAATAATGGTATAGGGAATACTGTTTACAGATAGTTAAGGGAAGATATGATAAGTTTGACAGGGGTTTATATTAATCCATTTGTCAGTTGAGGTAAAACTAAACGTCCTTGTGCAGTAGCACACAAAAATCTCAGAGAAATGAATGCGGGAGCGACATAACTTTAAAGATTGCCATATGCGGTACTGCTATAGCTGTATATTTCTTCGCTGAAAACTACCCTAGAAATCCAGATTCTTTCCTTATGGTCTCCCTAGAGTTGGATTCAAATAACCAGAAGCTGTTTTTTTTTTGCAATCTATGTTCCTATAATGGTTTAAAAATTGTTTCTCTGATTTTCAATTCTTAGGTTAGCTGTTCTGCGTCTGAACTTTTGAATATCACAAAGCGTCAAGTCCTGATGTGTGCAGTCTAGCCTTTTGACTTTTTCCATCACTTATAGTAGTTCCGAGAATATCTGTCAAGTTAAATTTTTCTGTCACTTTAATAGAACTTGTTTGTTTACTGTGATTTGATGACCGATTTACACAAAAGTCTTCAGAGAGGCACGGTTGTACTTCTAAATTTCGAGAAAGCTCTTCTTTTTTATGGCCTTATTTCTTCTGAAATACAATCTGTGAGAACCAAACAAAAACAGCTTTTGGAATTTACTTCTTGCTGTATTTTATACTTCTTCTTTCAATAGACAAGAGTAACGTTCTTAGTATTGTTAACTGTAGGAGTGGCTGTATATTCACTAGAAGCACGAACAATATAAGGAAGAGGAATTTTAGGTGGGAAATGGTCAGTAATGGTCCTGAAATGGTCGTTCTTAGTATTGTTAACTGTAGGAGTGGCTGTATATTCACTAGAAGCACGAACAATATAAGGAAGAGGAATTTTAGGTGGGAAATGGTCAGTATTTTTTGGGAGTGGTTTTCAACTTTAAGTGCTAAAATAGCCAATGATTTGTTTCAAATATTATACAGTTTTGGTTATTGTGTAGGTTTTTTGACGAAGTCTTTTTTGCTTAGGTTGTGCAGAAGAAATATGATTAATTGAAGTGCTAGATTATCCTTCTCGAATTCTGAAATATCAAAGAGTTGAAGGCTGTTTGATCATTTTAAGTCAATTTTTTACATTTGTGCTTTTGTTCAACAGTTTCCTCTCTGTAGCAGAAAAGTTCCAGTGATGGTAATGGTCTTTCAAACTGCCTGCTTTACGTGGATATGCAGTGACTGAAAATAGCTACAAAAATTAGTAGCAACCTTTTTTTGTGATGCAAGAAAAGCATCAATTTATAACTAAAGGGACTTTTTCTACCTATGGTTTCCTGTAACCAAAAATCAAAAAAATTATTCGAACACAGTTTGTCTTTTTCTGTTTCTAACAGATGGAATACGGTAGAAACGGAATTGAATCCTATTTTGCAGATCAGTGATGGAAAAAATTAAACTTTAATGGTTTCTGCTCTTTAGATTAAGAAGGAATTATTGGTATTGAGGTATTCTACGCTTTAGTTTTCTCGCATTCTAGAAATGTGAAAGAAAGTTTTTTTTTTAAGGTTATTGTATAAAATTTTGTCATAACAGAACAGCACGTTAAAACCAAATCCTATCAGAAGACCACTTGTGTAAACGTCAAAAAATTCTGGTTCCTGTTTCTTTTTTGGAAGTGTTAGAGTGTTGTACCGAATTAGTTAAAGTCTGGTTTGCACCAAGGCGTCCTTGAGCGTTATAAGTACGTTTGGGTTTCTTTTTTGCCATCTGTTTATTCCTTTATTCTGATTTTTGAACTCACCTAAGTTGCCACTTTTTTTATTTTTCAGTTGAGCACTGTAAATTTGATTTAGTATTGTTATTTTTAAAAATACATATCGAATCTAGCTTCTAGCGGATTCTTTTCTTCTGCAGTTTGATAAATACCGAGTTAGTTCCATCACACTTCTGGAACGTTAAATGTGGCAAAATTTTTATTTTTATTGGGTGTGCTAAGGACATAGCTTTTAAAAGTTCTTCAACTTTTTTAAAATTTATTTCCTGTGTAAGAAATTGAATCGACTATCGTTCCTTAGAAGCTACTTTGTTTTTAAAAGTCATCTGATTGGCCTCCCGTTTTTATAAAAGTATTTTCTATTGCTGCTGGTTTCTTCTCCACGAACAATGTTGGTACCCCAAAAATCTTTTGAATGGCCGGACACAGTTGTGATAAGAAGGAAAGCATTGTTACTTTTGTAGACAAGTAATTATTTTTCTGCTTTTTTCTCTATAAGCTGGCAAGCATCTCAAACATTTAATGCAAACTAATACGAGGAAAGTTACTTTCCTCTAAACTGGTTTTAATAAACCTATTATATATTAATAAAGCATGGGTCATATTCAAACCAGCTGAGCCAGTAAAAAAGTAGGATAATCAAACTCATTT